AAACAAATATAATCAAAATCACACCAAACGTTTTCCAAACGACTAGTTAACTAATACAACATCTATCATTGGATCAAAGTTTAAATCTCCACCACTATATGTTGTGTTTAACTCAATTAAAACAACACAAAAAAATCCAACAACGGTAGAATGAGAGATTAAATAAACTCTTTCATTTGTATTATACTAAAATTGAATCTCAAATAGGTCGAAATCCTGACACATGAAATCAATTTGAACATAGCTCAGCGAGCACAAAATCAGACCAAACATTATCCAAACGACTAGTTAACAAATTTTAGTGGATCAAAGTTCTATATGTTGTGTTGAACCAATGAAAACAATACAAAAAACCCAACAACCATAAAATAGAGAGACCAAATCATAAACTCTTTCATTTATTATACTAAGATTGAGTCTCAAATTGGATCAGAATTTCATAGTTCAATATTATTTGTATTATACTAAAAGAGTTTGAATCTGGAGAAAACATACCAAACCCATTAAAGAAAATGGTATTAGAAGCTTGTATACTATTTAAAATCTTTCTATACTTTACACATGTTGACATATTTTATTAAAAGAATGTATTCAACAATAATTTGGAGACTTTGTTCATTCAAATAAGCTAAAACAACCACACATCTTAAAATAATATTCTTAATTCTTTTTCTTATCTTATAAATAAATTATATATAATTTAAGCTTATTTTAAAATTTGGATTCCTTATGATACTTTATTTGGGGCTGCAAATCCCGCAAACTAAGAGTACGGTCTCCGGCCGAGAAATACAAAATATACAGATAGAGATTATGATAATTTGACGTGGCAGAACCAGAACCGTCAAATAAATAAAAAGGGAACCTGCTGTCGACACGTGTAAGCGAAATTACGAAAAAGTCCCTAGTGAAATTGAAAAGACGAAACTGACCTTGTTAGCGTTGGGAACCAGTTCTTGCAGACCTTTCATTCTCTCTGCAATTCGTTCTCTTCGTAACTGTTAAAAATTACAAAATAAGAAAATGAAAATTCCAAAAATGAAAAATGAAAATAAACGGAGGAAGTTGATTACTCTTTCCGCTATACTGTGAGGATCTGTGGCTTGTCCTCTCCGAGCTCTGACTCTCTGCCGGGGCTGAGCTGATGTTGCAGCACCACCGCCGGAGCCAGGGACAGACGGAGGTGGAGGATTGATTGATACCGGAGCTATGAAGTTCTGTTTCTGTGAATTTGAATTTCCCTGCAGATTGGTGAAATGAAGTTTTAAAATAATGGTGAGGTTATTTTTTGAAGTGTACGATTAAATCGAACTACTTACTGCCTGAAATTGATTCTGGTTCTGGCTGGAACCAGAGGCGTTCAGAAACCCGGTGAATTCGTTGAAGATAGAGGGAATGACAGAGCCGTGGTTAATCTGAAGTATTAATGAAATTAATTTGCAAGAATAAAATCAAAATGGTACCAAATCGAAACCTAATTTTCGAATTGAACGATTAGCGATTGGATTTGAGAGTTTGATTTTGAGTACCGGATTAGGGCATTTGAAGGACGAAGAGCCTTCGACTTCAACGACGTCGTTACTAAGCATTGGAAGGAGACTGGAAACATCGGAGACGGTGGCGATTCCTCTCGACATGAGTAACTGCTGTTGAAGCAAGGCCATGGCCATTTTGCCCGCTGGAGTTGCGTCGCCGATCTGAAACGCGCCATTGTCGGGATTAGATGGCGGCGGTGGCTGGGGAGGGAGGTTTGAGTGGGGATTTGGAAGTCCGACGGGGAGTTCCCAGGGAGGGGGAGCGGTGGAGAGGATTTGGTCGAGGAAATCATCAGAGGAGAAGGAAGGTGGATGGAAGAGGGAAGTCTGAAGGTGGTGGTGGAGTTGAGAGTCGTCCGTCTCCGGTGGCTGGTTACGGCGGTGGCTATGAAGGTCGGGGAGGGAGTTGGTGAGTCTCATATCAGTCCGGCGAGAAATAAACAGAGGAGTGAGGGAGCCATGGAAGGTGGGATTACTGAGATTTTATAGTGGAAGATAAAGACAATTTGGTCATTTTCAAGTAACAAAGAAGCGCGTGATTCTCACTTTCTTTTATTATATATATATATATTACAAATTTTACATTTTTATTAAACTAATTAAATTGATTTTAGATAAATTTATCAAAGGGTCCTCAATCAATTTATATAATTGTCCAATAGGTACTTTCCAAATTCTCTATTTTATTTTATCGAATAATTTAATGATATTAACCATTTTTAATATGTCTGTTTATATATGTACAGAAATGATCTCAAGACGGAGACGGAGACAGAAAAAGTTCCTATTTCATTTTCGTTTAGCTAACAGGGAAAATGCAAGGTTGGGGACGGGATGGAGAATGTAATTTACGTTTTCAACCTCATTTAACTGACAGATAGAAATCTCTCTACTCCATCCTTCCTTCTTAATCTCATTTAAAATAGATCCCAGCTTTAATAAAAAATTAATTTAATAATGATTAATATAGGCTATAAAATATACAAAATTTGAAGACATTGGACATTAATATAGCAATATTTGTCCAAAAATTTGACAAATTTTGTAATAATAATAGGATTTTGAGCGCGTGAGAGAAAATTATCTAAAGAAGCGAGTGGAGTTTGAAAAGACATATCCAAGTGGCCCTCAGAAAATAGCCGCCACAAGCTTAATTTTCATTTTCATTTTCATTTTAATTTATTTTCCCACTAATTTTAACACCAATTGCGGTAACACAGTTAGTTTAATAACTAATTATCAGGAGCGTCAATTTTTCAAACAACAAATAAATTTTAATTAAAAAAGAAAAATCATTTTTGAATTATAACAACCATTTTGACTCAAAAACAAAATATTCCCGTTAAATTATTTCCATTTTTACCATTTATTAATTATATAAAAAATCCTAATACCCTAAAATTATAAATTTACGCCTATTTAATTTTTAAATTTTAAAAAATGGGATGACAAAATATACTAAAAAGACCTATAATGATCTGTGGAGATAGTCTTCATTCTTAGAAACAATTCAAGAAAAAACTATGGTAGCTATGTAGTGACGATGCAAGAAATGTTAGAGTTATCCGACATCAAACTTAATTTTAAATTCCAGTCCGAATCTGAGATATGGGGCATTACAATTTAATATGAGTCAAACTCAATAACATTTACTTCTAAAAAATCTGAACGGACTCCCACGCCCTTCTTTGTTTAGCTCGTTTATCTCGGTGATTACACTCTCGAGTCAGAATTGAGATGGAGATTCTGAATAGGTGCAGAGAACGTCAATTCTAGTTTTATTATATATATTATTATAATTAAATATATTTAAATATACTGATATTTTTATGCAACTAAATTATGATTATACAACTTATCTCGTATAGATGAATAAAACATTATGTAATATTATTATTTTGTCATTATTTGTACTCTCTTGATTTTTTTTAATGGACATTAAATATTGTATGAAGTTCATATAGAATTGGCTTAAAGATTTATATGTGAACTAACAGCTATGAGGAATAAAACAAATTTAAAATAACAATAAAATAAATATTTGTCTATCATATGATCAATACTTTTATTAATTAAATATTTTGGGATTTCCAAAACAAGCTAGGTGGCTATGGTTGCCACTTTATTATATATATATATATTATATGTATGTATTGGGGATATTTATTTTCTTAGTAACAAATAAGATTTATGTCACATGTGCCATTTAATATCATATCACATGGTATATAACTAAGGGTTTACAAAGTTTAGATTAAGGGAATGATGAAAGGGTGACATTATTTTTTAATTAATAAAATAAACATCTTTGAAATATTTGATAGTGATTTTCTAAAATTTTATTTATTTGAAAAAACGCTAAATTAATAAAAATATTCATAAATGTTATACTTTCTCTCCAAAATATTTTTATCGATAAGATAGGGACGAAAAGCGTCTACTGCCACCTCATAGATTATCCATTTTGGCCGCGTTTTGCTAAAAAAAAAAAGAAGAAAAATCTCCCCCCTCTCTCCTTTATTTCTCTCCTTCATTTCCGTTTAAATGGAAACTTCTCACGTGAATGTAGGTTGAATGGACATATCTAATCGTAACTCATCTCATTATCAGCTTTGTCATCTTTATATCATTAAAGATTAAATGCAATAACTCAAAATCAAAACGTTGTTATATCATTCTCGCTGATGACTCGGTCACGACCGGAATAATGTCCAAGTCGTCTTCAGGTGCACCAACAGTTAAGTTAGCCATATGGGCCTTTACTTAGTACACCTTTGGCCATTGTCATAGAAAGGACACCTATTTGTGATATCTAGGATGCGAACGAGAATGAAATATTTTTTATAAGGGAGATGTGCTCTAAAAACCTTATCGAAAAGTCCAAAGAAGACAATATCTACTAATAGTGGGCTTGAGCCGTTACAAATGGTATCAGAGTCAGACATCGGGCGATGTGCTGGCGAGAACGCTGGGTCCCGAAGGGAGTGGATTTAGGGGATCCCACATCAATTGAAGAAGGGAACGAGTGCCAACGAGGACGCTGGGCCCTAAAGGAGAGTGAATTGTGAGATCCCACATCGGTTAAGGAGGAGAACGAAACATTTTTTATAAGAGTGTGGAAACCTCTCTTTACCAAACAAAGGGAAGGCAAGTAAGTAGTAGTCGAAATGTTGAAGAGGTGAATGAGAATGAATCTTTCATTTTCTTCCTCCCGTATAGGTTCTTCTCATGCCGCTCCTTTTCTTATTCCTATTTATTTACTTACAACTCGGATGGTCAAAGAAAGGGTGTCGGTTCAATCTTTGGTTACAGTGAAAGAAGAATGAAAGAAGAAATAGGTGAAGGAGAAAGAATAACTCACAATCACAATAACAGATGGTGCGTTTTAAAAACCTTGAGTGGAAGCCCGAAAAGAAAAATTTGAATAAGACAATATCGGCTAGAGGGTGGGCAGTAACCTACTCTAATGTAAGAATGAAGAACAAGAACAAGTTGTATTCTTTCTATTAAATCAGTCAAGTAGTTTAGATTTTCATGGATGTCAAAGAATGGAAACTGGGAAGCAAATACGAGTCTGGTATCAACCAGTATAAACGAATCTGCTCTCACCTGTAAGAAAAGCCTCCCTTTATGATGTAAACGGCAGCTAAATCAAGATCTGCATCCTCGAGCACAATGCAGGCGTCTTTGCCTCCCAGTTCCATCTGAAAGAGGTGTCATGCCTGCCTTCTTTGAAATTGCAATTCCGGTATCTCCACCGGTAAAGCTGCACAAAAAAAAAAAAAAAAAAAAAAAAAAAAAAAAAAAAAAAAAAAAAAAAAAAAAAAAAAAAAAAAAAAAAAAAAAAAAAAAAAAAAA